CGGCCAATCCGCGGCTTGGGGTGGAGACGCCCGTGGTGGCGTCACACGCGCACGAGGGGAGTCTCACAGTCGGGGTGGGAGGGGGGAGAAGAGACGTCATTTTGCCTTCCCGTGGTCAAGGTGGAATAGGAGCGGGTGGGGGCGGAGTTCTGTTATAAACTCATTTGCATATTTGCACATTATTTGCATACTAGAAATTCCTGTTCTTTCGCTCGTTCGGAAAAAAAAATGGAGTGAGCTTTTCTACAGTTTATTTATCCATGGGCCAGTCGGGGTGGGAGGGGGGAGAAGAGACGTCATTTTGCCTTCCCGTGGTCAAGGTGGAATAGGAGCGGGTGGGGGCGGAGTTCTGTTATAAACTCATTTGCATATTTGCACATTATTTGCATACTAGAAATTCCTGTTCTTTCGCTCGTTCGGAAAAAAAAATGGAGTGAGCTTTTCTACAGTTTATTTATCCATGGGCACATTTGCATCTCATTTACATACCTGGCCTATGGGCGCGCTGACGTGTCCAGGCTTCTTTGAATTGCGCGTGTTCATTTGCATAGCATGGCCCCTCCTGCCTGGTTCCGCGGGTCTCCACCCCCCCCCCTTTTCCCAGCGAAGCGGCGTCTTAGTCACGCGAGCGCTCTATTAGCATATCATTTGCATCTCGTTCCTTGCCCCGCCCTCTTCCCTGTCGGCCAGCAGGTGCGGGACGAACCTTCCCAGGGCGGCGCGGGGGGGCCCTGCTGCAGTGCGGGGCCCGCCAGCCTCGGTGCGTCCATGCCCTTGCTCTTGGGGGAGGCTCCCGGCCGGGGCCCCAGGCTCGCAGCGCTTGACAGGGGCAGCAGCAGGCTGGCTTCCCGCCCCTGGCTCGGGGTTTGGTGCCTCAGTTTCCCTGCGCTGCCAGCGGGTCTGTCTGGGGGGCTCTGCAGGTCCGTGCCTGAGGAATGGCTGAAATCCTGGAGCGGGGCTTGTGAGTGCTGGGACCCGCCCCCTGGCTCAGAGGATGCTGTCAAACCATCTGAGCCATAATCCCTGCTGGTCAGCTGGGGGGGCTGCTTGGCCATCTCCAAAAAGTGCCCCCGCAGCTGTGGAACCGCTTCGGGAGTCTGGGGAAAGGCTGTTTCTTTACATTTGTGGTGATTCGCACTCAAGGGTAAATACAGGTACATTCCCCTTATTCCTTGGCTGAGATGATTCATTAATGTTCTAGGTGAAGGCGGCATTTTTTTCCTCCTGTGCTTCGTTTTGCTATGGTTTGTGTTCTCTTGTGCCAACTACATATGTTACCACCTGAGGGTGACCTTGGACTACAGCTTTGAGACTTGCATGGCTTCCTTTCCTTGCCACCAGGAACAGCACAGATAAGTTGCTATGCATCTTATTCCGCTCTGTCTACCGGATTTCATAAGGATTTATGTTTGGTTCTTCTTTTCTTTTCCAAGAGCCTGAAGGTCCATTACTGACTAAGTGTGTTGATTAGCAGCAATGTCACGATATACAGCATCAGTCCCAGAGCAAAACAACAACAACCAGGAAAACAAAACTTCAAATCTCCGAGTCTCAGAAAAAAAGTGTTGTGAGTATTTGTGACAGTCTAGGGAAATAGATCCTGTGTCTTGCAATTAATTTCTCTTTTACCTGTTTATAAAAAGAAGTAGTCAATCAGTCATGCTTTATTCCTTCTACCCCGGGGCATAGTAAAGGCGAAGTGGCTTTCCTTATGCCTCTTCCCAAAAATGCTTCAGCTCTGATCTGAAGGGCTGTTCATTTTCTGTCCCCCATTCATTTCTAGGCCTTTTTTGCTGAGTCTGCCAGCAAGGGGAAGAACTGTGATGTGTTTTTATGATATGTACTTGGACCTGAGATCCCCAGAAATTTAATGTATTTAATGTAGGCTCCAAAAATAGTACTAGACAAGTTTATAACTGTGTACAATTCTTGTTTGTATCACTTTTATCCAGTTATATTTGTTGAACATTTTGCTCTTCTGGACAAATGTTGACCCTTCAAGTTAATAACGTTTTTTAATTCAGCTCTTTTTAGAAGGAAATCTGTTCAATGTGGATCTGAGTTTAAATGTAACGTCTGTTCCTGAAAGCTACCCACGTGTATTAGGCAAGAACTAGCACAACTGTACTCAATAGGGATTTAAGGTGGCTCACCTTGCCTATTTCCATCTAATGTGCTTCATCAGGTAGTGATCTGGGCATGTTACATCTGTGACAAGTTGAGCTGATTCCATCTAACAACCTCCATTGAACTCTTATAACCTAGGCTTAGTCTTCGGTTGTGAAAGGCCAGGTTTAAGCAAAGAATCACAAAGTTCAGTAGGAAAGGACGCGCACACGCACACTGATATGATTTAGAGCTGCATAATCACCAGCGGTCTGCTTCGATTTTTACTGCTTTCCAAGTATCTCTCTTTACTCTTATTGAATATCTTTATTAAGGATTACTTTTTCCCAATACGTGCTAGTTGCCCTTATCCATATTACATTCATTTTGTTATTTCCTGCTTATGTCTCTAACCCATAATTCAGTGTCTTTACTGATTTTTCAGAACTTCCCAATCTAAAGATACGTCTACACTACAGAGTTGTGTTAGAAAAATGGCCGTTTTTCTAACACAACTTGAGGACTGTCCACACTGCAATTGTGTTCTTCTGCAAGAAAATCTAAAGAACCAGGGGGTTTTCTGGCATTGGTAATCCTCATTCTACAAGGAAAAAGCCTTTTTCCGAAAGAGCTCTTTCACAAAAAGGCATGTGTGGACAGTGAAGAGCAAGTTCTTTCGAAAGAAGAGGAAAAAGGGAAAAGCACAGGTGCCTTGGTGGCCATTCCATCCATAGCAATCACAGCTTACATGCGAGACAGCTTCCATTCAGTGTGGATGCTCTCTTTCGAAAAAGCAGATGGCTTTTTCAATGCACTTTTGCAGTGTGGCCGCTCTCTTTGTGAAGAAGTTTTTTCGGAAGATCTCTTCCAAAAAAAGCTTCTTCTAAAAGAAGCCTGTAGTCTAGATGTAGCCTAAGTCACTTTGGGAATTTACATTTAACATCTTGTTTGCCTCTTCCTCCAGTTCCTTTATAAAGCTATTTCAAGGAACATCGTCCATGCAAAGGTTATGTTTGTGTCTGACAATGTTTTACCTGTTTTAAGTAATCCTTAAAATGACTATGACTGGAAAAGACCATGGGGAAAAACATTTTTTTTTCCATTTGTTTACTTTGCACTTATGACAGCAAGGAATACAGATGGCTTCCCCAGAGTCAGTTTCTTTGTTACTATGCACGAAAATCCACACAAACAAGTGAGAGAATTTAGAGTATTAATAATAGACAAATATGGCTATAAAACTATAAAAAAAATTGGCATTGAAGCTTGGGGGCAAGAGTAGTGCACAGATACATATACCTTTAACAGAATCTTTGAAACTGACAAGATTTACAACAGACAAAATCCCATCAGCATTGCAGTTAGATTTGAATTGTGTCTTGTGTGGCAAAACCGTCTCATCAGGCCATTTAGATACAGGAAAGTCCTATTCTCTCCATTTTGTCTTCTATTTAGTTTATATTCATTTGCTTTGACCAGTTTAATTATGGCAGACATGCTCCCATATCCCTGTCTATAATCAGTCTCTTTGGTAGAGTTCTATAAAACTGAAAGTTTTACTCAGTGGATTCATTAATTAATTCATCTGTTGCTTTTGGAGAATTATCAGAATTTTTAAATAGATACTAGAAATTTTATGCAAAATCAATACTGGTCAAAAATCCTGCTTCTTAGCAACAGATTAAACATTATCAACTTTGTTTCTCAGATCATTTGTTCAGTATGATATGGAAAGAAATTAGCTTCCCGTCTATTATCAATAAAGAATTTTTCCTCTGTCCTTGATAGCTATTGCTTAATTGATACATACTTTCAACTCTGACTGACGTATTTTGGCTGACATATTAGTCACACGTTATTTTCCCTGTTCACGGTGGCTGATCAGTTGTTAACCTACTTCATTAGCTAATACCTGAGAGAGCAAAGCTGTGGTACAGTGGTTGCTATAACATTTAATTGGAAAGAAGGGCATGATAATGAATCCACTGTATGAAACACACAGCAAGTAATCTTTTGTATGGCTAATAAAACTCACTGTAATGGGCAAACACAGTGAGTTAGCCAGAGATTAATTTGGTGTCTGACTTCGTGTTTGCGTTGAGCTGTTTTAATTAATGTAATGATTTTTGCCTCCTCGTCTTTGCAGCATGGGCTTCTTATATGACCAACTCCCCTACTTTGATTGTAATGATTGGCCTTCCTGCCCGGGGTAAGACTTATATGTCCAAGAAATTAACCCGCTACCTCAACTGGATTGGCGTGCCTACAAAAGGTCTGTGTGAATTTTTGTTCATGGTAGTGCAAAGTGATTGATGGGTCCCAGATCTGAAACATTTGTTTTAATCCAGCATAGGGATGTGAGAGGCTAACCGGTTAACCTGCTAACTAGTAAGCATCACCCACAATGGGTAATGCTTACTGGTTCTGGTTAACCGCAGAGGCCACCCCAAAGAGGGGGTTTCTCCACCCCCTGGGGCTCACGGCAGGCAGGGTCTGCTCCAGCTGGCCGGAGCACCCTCTGTCTGTGGTGAGCCCGTCCTGGCCTGGCACCCCCACCCCTGCTTACATGCTGGCTCCTAGAGAGCTGGCTGCAGAGCCCGCAGCAAAGTCTCCTCATGGGCAAGGCTGACAGCTCTTGCTGGCTCTGCTCCCAGGGAAGTGGCTTCTCTGTGGCAGGGAAGCCTCCTTCCTGGGAGCAGAGCTGGCAGCATGTACAACCGCTGACATTTTCAGCGGTTACGCTATTACCTATTTTATAACCCACTTTTTACATCCCTAGTGCAGCCCAGGGGTATAAGCACTGAAACGTAACATGACTTGATAGCTACTATTTGGGGTGCTAACTGCAGTGTTGTCCCCTGTGAACAAGAGTCTGCATCATAAAGTCTTAACGGCAGTGCCAACAGAGAGCCCGAAGATTTAGTTATCCTTAGCAACTGAATTCCACGTGACCCCTTCGAGGTGGTTTCTCCAAGCAGATTGGCAAGGGTCAGTATGTTGGGGAGGCTTGCACTAGTACTCCTCAAGATCTATCCATTCGGTGCTTAGAGAGGGATTGCACATGAATAAACTTATAATCCCTGTGCAGAGGGCCAGCACAAAATCTGTGCGCCCTCAAAGTAGGTCTTAAGTGCTTCATAGTGAATTATTTTCAGCTTGGGTTGTGAGGCTGCCAGGGTAAGCCACTGGCCGACCGGTGCCACTTTGTATACTTAATGTGTCCATAGCCATGGAGCTTTGACGCTCCCATTGGCTGCCGTTTACCATTTCCAGCCAAGGGGAGCTGTGAGGCTTGGTAGCTGTGGACACATTAAGTAAACAAGGTGGCCCGGGCCCGCTGGTGGCTTAACCTGGTGGCCCCGCGACCCAAGATTGAAAAACACTATCCTAGACTCTTGTGCTGGCCCTTTGCATGAGGGTGAATTTCACTAAGGCAGAGACCTTTGGTTTCCAGGGCTGACAACTGGGTATCTTTCATGAGCACTAAACTTTTGTTTTGCAAAGTGCACGAGATCTTATCAAATCTCTTCTGCTTATCTTGCATCTCTTCTCTTTCCAAAGCCTGAATGTCACGCTGCTTAATGGGGATAGGGATTGCCCATGACTATACTGATACCCAGGAGGATAGTTATAAAAAATGTGAATTAACTTGAGGAGGTCTGAAGAAAAGTACGCAAGGGAAAGAAGAGATTCTGTGGTGAAGATTAAGTTTTTCAAATTTCAATCATAGGGAATTCTTGTGGTGATTGCAAAAGTTATTTTGAAGTAAAATTGCTGGAAGATTTTAGTGGGAGGGATAGTTTATGAATTGGTGTATTAGTCAAGATAAGGATGTCATTCTCTTCTTGGCTCAAGACCAGGTACCATGTATTTGTGAGATGCTGCAAATTACACATCTTCATTTGTCTTTGTGAAGTGTTTAATTTAGGAGTATATCGTCGAGAAGCTGTGCAGTCGTACAAGTCCTATGATTTTTTCAGGCATGATAACAAAGAAGCCATGAAGATTCGGAAGTAAGTCTGTGTCACTGGGTGCAACTCAACATGAAATAGTAGAAAAAAAAGTTCATCTTATTCTAAGGCCTTTGCAACTGGTTTCAGACTATACCTGTGACTGTGGGACATAACATTTAATGTGTCGACAAATATGGAGCTAAATTCTGCTATCATTGCTTAGATTGAGAAGGACCTGACTACATCAATAGCTCCACTAATTTCAATGGAGACTACTCCAAAAGTAAGATATTGCACTGTGGGTACATCTACACAGCGACACTATTTCATGATAACACTCCCGTTCTTAACAGCACTCGTTATTTCAAAATTCATTCAAAATAACAGGCTTCTTATTCCGGCTTCCTGTAAATGTCATTGCACAAGGAATAAGGAAGATGCCGAAATAGTGATTTATTTAGAAATTAGCGCTGTGTAGACAGCACCAAATTTTGAAATAAGCTATTTCGAAATAAGCTACATAATTTGTGTAGCTCAAATTGAGTAAATTATTTCAAGGTATGCGCTACTGTGTAGTTGTATCCTGTGTGAATAAAGATAGCTGAGTTGGGCCTTCAGTGAAAATTTTGTGGAGTGGATTAATAATTGGTTCAACCTGAGGAAATTCCAGATTATTTTACAAGTTTTAAAAACTGCTTTGGGAACATGTGACAGAATTTAATATTGTGTCAACTAGTGCTCTTAAAAAAAAAACGACAACATGGTTTTTATTACATCCTCATTTTTCCATCTCCATTCTCTGTCTGCATCACTCTGGAATGTAGGTCTGAACTCAGGTTATCTCTATGTCAGTCCAAAAGTCATGCCGTTCCAGGGTTCTGCTTTGACTTTGCATTTCTCCACAGGAATAACGAGAGATTTTTCTTACAGTTATTTGCACACAGCAGTGCATCAACACTATAGTATGAATTCAAGATGACCAGCAGACTTGTTTCATAAAAGTCACACATCTGGGCAGGGAGGTCAAGTGAGGGGGCCTCAGTTTTGAGTATTCAGTGCATGCCATTAAAATACCTGCTCTAGAAGCTGTGACTTCAGGGTGGGCAGCAGACCTCTTGCTTATGAGCGGGTAACAAACTTCAGATTTTCTCTAAGTGGGCAGAGATAGAACTTTCCCTCCAAGACAGTGCACTTTGGTCCCTGCCCGGGCATGTTTACAAGTGACCATTCTCTCTCACCCCTTTGGCTGGTGCATAGATTTATTATTTTAAGGAAAGTTGATCCATATAGATGAATGACAAGGGTGAAATCCTTGTTCCATTGAAATGCGTAACAAAAGTCCCATGGACTCTTATGGGGTGGAGGGCAGGATTTCACCTCATGCATGCAGTGGTGGCCGTTGAACGACAGGAGACATCTTGGGGAGAGATACCAAATGATGCGAAAACAATAAATCTAATAATGGGTCTGAACCTGCTCCCATTGAAGTCAGTAGGAGTTTCATCATTTACTTTTAGGAAAGCAGAATGGGGCCCAAAGACCAAAACTCAGGTGATAAGGGGGGAGGGGGGGGTCTGAGTACTACAAAAAAAAAAAAAAAAAAAAAAAGACAGATGAATTAAAAAGTCTTTATTGTCCCATTTAGTGACCAGTTGGGAGACCTAGATTCAGCCTCTGCTCCCGAATCTGTCTTCCCTGGTGGGCAGTGCATGTCCTCAATGGGTTAGACTCCACAGTGACCGGTTTGTTCCTTTAAGGAAAGATGGCAGCAGACTCCTGGGCTGGAAGAGTAGAGTGCTCAGAACAGAGACCCTGAGTGAAAAACGGAATTTAAACAGTTGGCAAAACCCCCAAGGCTCCATGAAGCATGCAGAGAATGTCCTTCAGGAGAGAGAAATGTCATATTTTAAGTGTTTCCAACTGTGAGCTTCGGAGCCGTGATTCATGAGTCTTGGAAGCTGTACGCTTTACATGGCCTGAAATTCTGCCGATTTCTCTCTTTGCAGACAGTGTGCCTTGGTGGCCCTGGAAGATGTGAAAGCTTATGTCACGGAGGAGTGTGGGCAGATAGCTGTAAGATAACACTCGACTGACACAGAGTTTAAATCAAAAGAGTATTACATTTTCATCCAAGCCCCTCTGGCAGCTTTGAAACACGTAACTAATATTGTTGGGATTCTTTTTTCCTCTTAGGTGTTCGATGCGACCAACACCACTCGGGAGAGGAGGGACTTGATCCTAAAATTTGCTAAAGAGAATGCTTATAAGGTGACTGACTTTGATTTGGAATAAGAGCTGTAGGCATGGGTGCATCCCACGCCATTAGCATCAGTGCATCGGATGGCAGATTTGGGCTTTTAGCTTTGCATGGTGCAGCTGCAGTTGAATGGCTTGTGTTATCACCTCAGCCAAGATGGTGTGAAATGGTGTTTTGGTGCTGGTTTTTCATCCCCTCTGCTCTGGGGTCAGTGACTATTTAAGGTGCAAGGTAGAGGAGAATCAGCCTCCTTCTGTGCATATGACTGGTTTGGGAAGTACTCTATTTTAGTCAATTGGCTGTTGGGATATTCTGTTCTGATGGGCCCTTATCTCGATGGTGCTTGGTGATGAGTGTAGCATACATTTCTAGATGGACAGATAGATAAATTCGCTAAGTTTAAAGTAAGGAGCAAGGTTAGTTTCTCACAAAACATATCTGGCTAAATCTATCCTTTGGGTAACTCTGCTGCCTTCATTTGTGGCTATACTGGAAATTAACCAGCCTATTTACATTATGCTAGAGGCTCTTAATCCTACTAAGCAAGCTTCATTGCCTCCTCTCTAGGTGTTTTTCGTGGAGTCTGTCTGTGATGATCCAGAAGTCATTGCTGCCAATATCCTGGTGAGTGCTGCTTGTTCATAGGCACAGGCTGTAGCATCCTTCTCTAGAACACTTGATGGTTGCCATAGAACAGGGGTGGGGAGTCATTTTTGCAGGGGAGGCACTTAATGAATTTTGGTACGTGGTCACAGACTGGCTCCACCCTGGAAGAGGCAGGGTTTAATGCGGAAGGGGCGGGGCTGGGGTCTAGGCTTCCCCCAGAGTTGTCTGTGGCCAGAGGCTTTGAATTAAAAATGCAGGAAAGAGCTTGCTTCTCCTGGTCCCACCACTAACAAAGTGCCTGGCAGCAGCCTGAGGTTGCTGCTGCTATTTAAAGGGCTTGCAGCTCTAGCCCCTGCCACGACCAGGAGCCATGAGCCATTTAAATAGGATTCTGCTGCCTGAGCCACCACCTGGAAATTTGGTGGCACAGACAGCAGGGTATAAATAGGAAGTGGCCGTATGCAGTCTGCAGGCTGGATCAAAGTGTTAGGTGAGCCCTGTCATCACGGGCCATGATAATGGCTCTGAGTAATGATGGAGATTGATTCTTATTAGAGAGCCTTGCAGTTCAGATAAATTAAATTAAAAAAAAAAACCTCACGGGATTCAGGTTTTCATTCTCCCTCGTTCTGCTGGAGCTCTCTGTGAGCAAGTCATTCTATGATGTGCTGAATGTTCTACTCCGAGGTGTCTGTTTGAGCCAGGTGTTTTTCTCAGTTGCTCCAGTGTAAATTCAGAATAACTCAGGAGGAGTAAGCCGAGTCACTCTGGATTTATGCAATCTTAAAAGCGATCAGAGTTTGGCTCAGAGACAGGGTTCTCGCATTCTGATTTTCCTTTCTGTAATCATGAAAGGTATCCTAGGTTAAACTCACCCAATATTCTCTTAGCCCGCTTTAGTGCATTTTATGCCAGGATCACAAAAACTGGTCTTTGTGATCTCAACAGGTAGAAAAAAGATTGAAACTGAAAGATTGAAACTGAAATAACTCTAATTCTGGTGCAGCCCTCTCCCTGTATGAGCTGCATGAGGACGGGTGTCCTTTGTAAGACTGTATGCAGTTCTGAAAGTTTTGTTCTTATGTTTCAGCTCTGAGATAAATGTTAACATGTGTGGATGCTTGGCAACCAAGACAGATGGGCTATTTATGTGGGAACTTGGAAACCAGACTAAAGCCATGAATCATTTTATCTCGGAGCCTGATTTTATTTTCATGGGCAGATGTGTAATAAGTGGTTTGTGTGGGAAGTCAGTATCAAGCCAGCTGCGTCTGTCCCCAGGCTAACTGTTACCATGTGACATTTAGATTTTTTTTTTCCTTGTCAGGAGATGGTTCTTCACAGGGCAAATGGGAAGTGGAAATGCAAAAAGTGTGTTTGTTTGTTTGAACATTGAAGAATAATGTCACTTATTCTGGTTTATACCAAGTTTTCTTAACTTTTAAAAAAAATCTCTTGATCCCTCTCTCTTGATAAGGAAGTGAAAGTCTCCAGCCCTGATTACCCAGAGAGAAATAGAGAGAATGTGATGGATGATTTCCTGAAGAGGATAGAATGCTATAAAGTCACATATCAGCCCCTGGATCCAGATAATTATGACAAGTAAGAGGCGAGATTTAGCAGCATTTTGCATAGTGGATATGTTGCGGAAACAGACACCGGGTTGCTTTCTTTTGCTGGTTGTATTCCCTGATCTAATATGCTTCTCTTCCTGGGCTAGCAAAACTCTCATTGACTTTGCAGTGTGGGAGATCAGCTAGTATGAGGTGTATGGAGTTATGGCCAAAATGATTTGCAGGCGTTTCTCTCTGGTGTATAAAATAGTAACGTTTAGGAAACTAAGTTACATTATAATAGTCTCGCCTCTCTCTCTAAGTGTGTTCAAGGAACCTATCACTGAGTTACCCCAGTGCCAAGCAGAGCAGCAGTATTGATATGGCGAGAATATTCACACACATTTTGCTTTAAAGACGCTGATGAGCGTGCTTGTTTTGTGTTGTCTGTGTAGAGACCTTTCCTTCATTAAAGTGATCAACGTGGGACAGCGGTTCTTGGTAAACCGTGTCCGGGATTACATCCAGAGTAAAATCGTCTATTACCTCATGAATATTCACGTCCAGCCGCGTACCATCTACCTTTGCAGACATGGGGAGAGCGAGTTTAACCTAGTTGGCAAAATCGGTGGGGATTCTGGCCTGTCACCGCGTGGGAAGCAGGTATGTTCTCGGCCGTGTCAGGAGGAACAGCCTTTTAAAAGTGTCTCACTACAATAGGAACCCAGATTTTGATATGTCTGCTGGTGTAAATGGGCTCAGCACCATAGAATTCAACTAAGATTTGCCCAATTATGACAGCAGAGAAACTGGCCTGAATCTATCTCTTAGGGAGGTGTAATTTCTCTTTGGCCTGGGCTTGAAGCCCCCGTTAGGGATGTAAAATTTTTTGTGTACCTGATTAAAAGTGGGCTGCCGGGCTGGAGCGCCTCTGCCCGTGGTGGGGCCCACGGAACTGGTGCAGTGCCTACCATGGGCAGCATCGTGGCAGGCCCCACAGAGCTGGAGGCAGGGTTGCTCCAGCCCATAGGTTAACCATTCACATCCTTAGCACCCTCATGCACCTTCATCAGTCCCCCACCCTGCTCTCTTGTGGCAATGCTCCCTGACCATAAGGTGCATTCATTTTGCAAAGGATTCGTTCTGAACCAATCAACAGTTTGCTAATTCGCCTAGAACCTTATTGGTATATAAATAACGAGTGTAGACGTAACAAATCTTCTAGGTTTATGCTGCATGCAGAAGACCCGTGCAGTCTTCTTTGTGATTAATGCAGATGCAGTGTTGGGATCCAGCAGCTAGTCCAAGGAACAAATCACCCTAAATCTTATTACATTTACCTAGTGTCAGTTATCGGTTCCTCAGTATCTTCATGCATGTATCACCCTTCAGGTGATGTCTCTTGAGAAGGATGCACTTGTCTTAGGGCACTCTCTTGTACGAATTTGTTCCTTGCTGTTTCTTGCGTGTGTTTTGATAGGGGCTAGTTTGAAATATCAAAAGCAATTGCTTCACTTTCTTTTTTAAGTTCTGAGACCAGTGGGCTTGGAATGGAAAAACACGTATGTAGCATTACTTAGCTAAATCCACAGTATGGTTACTAGGTGGTGCAACAGGCTGTCCACCCCACACCACTGCTGAACAGGTAAAATGGGCCAATTAACCTTGATCGGCTACAGCGGGAGCAGAGCAGGGGATTGGTAAAGCCTAATGGCAGATGAAGCCCAGCTGAGGGAGTGGCTGGGCAGGAAACCTGAAGAAAACAAGTTTGTAGTTGATGGAAATAGGAAGGAGGAAACATGGGGGAACAATAAGCCCTGAGGTGCTAGCCCTGGAAAATGGGTCAACCTCATGTGAAGGAAAAAGTTTGAGAAGGCATAGTAGGAAGGAATCCAGGAATAAGGCAGCAAGGAGAGAGAGTCTGTGTAGACCTGCACTGTTGGTCATAGAGTGCTTGGGCTGGGACTTAGTGCAGAGGGAGGGCCTTGGTTCCCTCACCAAATACCAGGAAGGGGTGTAGGACTGTCTGGATAGCTGTTCCGATGAGACTTGAACACCTGAGACGGGAGGACCACATAGCAACCTACAGGGAGGGCTGAGTCGTGAAGAGAGCTCTGTGACTTAGTGGGAGATGACCACATTGATGGAGTGACCGTAGCAGGTGGCACCGAATAGGAAGAAAGTTGCTGTATTATGCCTGGCCAGGAAGAGGAGGAGTTGATAAGTGAAACCACCTCCCTCCTCCACAACAAGGGACTTTCACTACAAACAGTGCAGCCTCAGCAGGGGGAATTTCATTACTAGTTACTTACGTTAAAAACCACAAAGGGTGCGTCTACACTGCATTGTTTTTCCGGAATAACGGCCGTTATTGTAGAAAAACAGTACTTGAGGCCAGACTGCAATTGTGTTATTTTGAAAAAAAAAATTCGAAATAACGGACGGCTTTTTTCCAATGGTTCCTCGTTTCACAAGGAATAAGGCCTCCCCCAAAAAAGCTTTTTCGGAAGAGGGTGTGTGTGGACGCAGAGTTTTGTCGAAAAAAGAGGCTTCCAGGAAATCCCACAGGTGCCCCACTGGCCACTCCGTCCACACTTATCGGAACTCTATAGTTCCTATTCCCCTGTAGCTCTTAAAGCTGTAGACGCAGGGGACCGGGCTTGGGGCAGGAAGCCGGCCCTCAGAGCCTCCAGCCACAGTGCAGCTCACAATGCCTGACGTCTGGGCACCAGGTCCCAGCCACAAGCCCCCCAAGAACGCCTTTCCTGTCCCAGGAGCATGCGCAGGGCTCGCAGGAGCCTGGCAGGGGCTACAAGAGGCATGCGCTGTTCTGGTCTACGGCGGAGATCCTAGTCCTCCTCGAGGT